CGCCATCTCCAAATTTTGATATGTTGTAGAGCAAAAAAATCTTCACAAAATGTGTTTTTTTTTCAAGATATTTAAAACTTCGTTTTTTTTTTATGTTTGTTTGAAATTGCTGAAGCACCTTAATGTTTACTGCGCTGTGTCAGTACACGCTTGAAAGAAATGACTTTAGCTGTGATAGAGGTAATAGTAAGCAATCCATCAAACAAGGGTGAAAATTTTAAAATGTCTATTGCTTGGTTGTGGCAATCGACGCTCCTTCGTGACTGAAAAGCTTGCTTAGTACCAAGAGGTACTGTTTGTTGACAAGGAGATGTTGACGTCTCACACGTCTACAGCGCGTGATGCCACGCAGTAAAGCTTACTGAAAGCAGAAATCATTATCCAGTGACGTATTATAGAGAAAATTGTGTCTTGTCATAATAAAACGAATGACTAGTGAGCTCATTGCATATTTTGGATGCAGTTCAGGTATGGCCACTTTCGGTTAAACGGTGAAGTCCTATAATTTGATAGAAGTGGACTAATGTTGCGAAATGACAGACCCAGGGTTGAGGAGACGTCAGATCAGTTTTATATGTGGTTCTCATAAATTTGGAGGGAGTTGTTGCAGGCGAGAAAAAAGGCAGGAGGAACGATGACAGCGTGGTAAATCACTTTGAAGCTTGCAATGTATTTTTGAAGGTGTTATAATCATTCTGGAACTTAAAAAGCGTGGGGATGAGCAAACCGCTCATTTTTAATGATGACGATGAAGCTTTGAAAACAGCTCCACAAAGCCCCAGCGTTTTCAGTAATTCATTACTTAGTTGAGTAGCCCTATAAAAGTCTTGACAGGCTTGTATCAGACAGTAGCCTCTAGTACTCGCGATTAAGAGCATTTCCAAACGGCTATCTATGGAAAGTTTCAAGCAGACATTGTGACATCATAAAGGGATGGTTGTTTAAAATACTCTAGAAAACTTTAGTGAAAATTAGTCAGAAGCAAATGTTACTTATTTGCCGTCAAACAAGCAAACAACTAAAGGACGCATAGTGCATGTGCCTCGAAAAAATTAAAAAAGAAAATTATTAGTATAAATGAAAGGGCCTATTGCGATCCAGTCCATTTTCGTTACCTGACCTATGTGGCATCCTGTTACGACGTCGAAGTTTCGTTATAGGACAATAGTGGATATTAAAAGAGCGTTTTCAAAAATCCAGCTTCATGAGGCGGGCAAGAGTATGACCAGTTTTCCATAATTTAACGACATATCTATGCAACTGCCTTTAGGGAGCCTTTTTGTATATCGATTTTGAAGGATTGCATTTGGTGTGATTTCAAGTCCATCCTTTCTCCTAGCAGCAACGGTGTCATAAGCAAAAAGACTGAAAAAGCTTAAGAAGGATGACAACAAGAGAAGATGGGGATGACCAAGAGACTAAGCAATCAGATTTATGTTAAAAATTCGATTACTGGAAGTAATAGTAGCGAAGGAATCATTTGTCTGTGTGAGATTACGAAGGAGATGTTTGGGGAAGCATCGTTCAAAATGCCTGCGTGTGCCTCGAACATACATGTACAACTTTTAGGACTTTCCGGAGCGCGGACAGGGATAAAGATTATTTACAAAGGGTCTTAGAAATGTTATAGCAGTTCCAGAAGGACGTACTGGGATTGGTTTTCCACGAAGGCGTTTAGAGTTACTGATAATTCACTAAACGAACAACACTCTCGTCTAGCACAGAACCATACCTTCTTTGGGTTTATTACCTATGGTCATCGCAAAAGCTAAGCTTTTAGTCCAATCTTCCTAAAGAAATCGTCTTTCTGCAGGCGAGCATTTGCCGAAAAAGGTGAAAATAGGATGACTAAAAGAACAAAGTACTCAGAATGAATTTGATACACTACCATTTCTAAAAAAAGTGACTGACAAGAAAGACTGAAATGTGTTTTGGAAGAAATTTCAGAGGAAGGCACCACACAGCACTGGTGTTCGGCAAAAATCGATTTTGTCAGGTAAAGAATATGTCTTTAGTGAAACTTTTTTCTTTGCTAACAGTGTTCTACTTGACAGTAGACCTCCTTAATAGGCTCTACCAAGCTGTCTCTATCTCGTTTACTGTAAACCGCTTTTTGCTGATTTACAGCAGTGAACTTCTCGAGTTTCCGACTTGCACACGTGGGCATGTAACCCGCTTGTTTGGAATACTAATCTTCAAAATATTGCCACTCAGAGACTCTCATATTGGCTTTAAGTTTCCACTACGAAAGTATCCTGCTCGAAGTCAAGGTTTTAAGAGCCCTGGTGGCAATCTTAAATTTCAAAAGAAGATTTATTTACTCAGAATCTCTATAGATGTTGAATGCTTCACTATGGCCTGCCTGTCTTCACGGCGAGTCTAAAGACAATCTTATTAAGTTCAAACTTCTCAAGTTCTAGACACCAAGCCTCAGGTTTAACACTTTATAAAACACAAAAACTAAAACCAAGATGTATAAAAAAATCAAATCAATAAATTTTAAAATTTTTAATGAAGAAGAAATAAACTTATATAAAAAAAATTTTAAAAATCAAGCAGAGCTAATTAAATGACTTTGAAAAGTCTGAGAATTTTAGGAAACTAGAGAGTGTTAAGATCGAAAAGTCAGAATCAAAACCGTAGAAGAGGATGTAGAATGGATTTTAAAATGCCCTTAGTTCACTTGACATAAACTTTAATACTTCCCTTTTTGAAAAAAAATGAAAATTATTTCATTCAAATTAATTTTGTAGTAAAATTAAATATTTAAGTTTGTGTAAGGTTTGTGAGGCCTTCTTTAACTAATTTTTTAGTTACCATAAGTTTGCATATGATATGATCTCAAAATTTATTGTAGCTTTAGTTTGCATCACTCGTTCTTTGCTTAAATTTTCATAAACAATCTAAATTGGTGTTAAAAAAGACATCAGTCTTTACTAGTTATTCACAAAATGCAAAAAATTCTCCCAGTATAACGCGTGATACCCGTCTTCTTAATTCTTGAATAAGATGAGCCATCAATCTGCTTCCAATAATAATCATTCTTTTCCGAGTTCGTGTTAGCGCGACTGTCATAAGCACTTTTTCCATTAAAAAAATTGTTGTTGTGGTACTAAGTGTCACGTCAGTCTTTGAAGTAACAAAAAACACGAAATCGCTTTCCTTCCTCATATGGGCGTCGGCGGTGCACACTGGAAGACTGCTGTCGATTCGTTGCATATCTCTCACAGATGAGCCATAGTAGCAGAGGACCACCATTCAGCCTTTGACTGCTTACTGGAAACCGTCAAATATTTTTATTGTAGCGATAACTTGTTCTCAATTTATTCAACTAAATATGAAGCTTCTCTTCTCCGTTCCTGCGACATCTATAAACAGGACCGGAGTCTCATCACAGGGTTCTGAAAAGCGAAGGTTTCTCCCAAATGGTCTAGTCCAACTTATTTAATGTCAATTGTAGCTGATCATCTTGTAATCACTGGATAGTTTCACAAAAAAACGATGAGGGATACCGAGTGATTCGCCTTTCAGCTAATTAAGAAGAAGAGACAATTCTCGTTTTCAAATTTGATTATTCGCGCTAATAATGTACCTGTGTATGTGGATACTTGTGGAATGTCTCTAATTAAGAATAGTCGCTTGAGTGTAGGGAACTGAAATGATAATTTTAATAAATTCATGTAAGTTCATAGTCCAGCCTCATATACGGCCGCTTTTCGGATAATGACAGTCGTTGTGGTTGTGTTGTCACTAAAGACTTTCTAAACCTACAATTCAGGATTCTAATTAACGTGCTTCCAGTGAGAAGACCTGAAGGTTCAGATTACACTGAGCTACGAGGGAGGAGAGAGTTTGTAGCCTTATACGAAGCCAATATAACGTAAAAGGACGGTTATTTGAAGAGCTCAAAACAGGAATAATTGCATCACCTAAATGAGGAAAAAAGTACACAACATAAAGGTCGAAGGCGGGCTATACAAAAGGTACCAAAAATAGAGGATATTGTAGTAATTGATGAGACCAACCTACGCAAAGAAGAGTGGAGATTTGAACGAACCGCAGCTATTTGTATAAAAAGGAGTAGTTATGAGAAGAATGTTGAAGTCGTTCTCGCAAACCAAACTGTTCTAGTGCAACAACTTAACGCTCTTTTCCTCGTTAACTGCTAAACTCACTTTTATTTGCTGGTATCATTTTCAGCATATGCGTTTTTGATTTAGATTTTCAAATAAATATCGCTTTGGATTTACAGCTATCCTTTTTGTTTTCGCATAAATATATATTTACTTATTTACTACAACTTATTAAAATGAGTTTTGCACAAAATTCTTGATGTATGACCGGTGTACAGCATTTTAGATTTATTTTTTGAAATTAATCGCTGTTAACTACGATCTCAACTTTCTTGCTTAAATGCTTCTTTTTTAATTTACTTTTTTATGTTTGTTTTTTCTACAGCGATACGAAATCAATGCTGAGGATTTTATTTGTTCTCGTTTTATTATTAAATCTTTTTGTCTTGTTATTCTCAAAATTCCTTTTTTTTTGTTCTCAGCATAAATTTTTTTTTGTTTTGTCAGTATTGGACCAACTTCGAGAAATTTTTATTTTAATTTTTTAGGCTCTTCTTATTTTTATTCTTTCTCTACACCTATGCTGCGTAAAGCAGTTTTTGTCTTTTTTTTTTTTTTTTCGCACTAAAATATGACCAGTGTCGCAAATTTTTATTTGTGAAAAGGACCTCAAAATTTGCCCCAAAAAAATCTTTTCTTTTTTTGAAAAACGAAATCATAGGAGGTCGAGACTCGGACGATCGTTCAGAGGACCGAATCCAAAAAAGGAACAACAGCGATCATAAAATTATTTCTGATAGTTTCTAATTTCTTTTAATTTTATTTTATTCGTGTAAATTAGTTACCTTTATTGTATATACCGTTTTTTAAAACCAAAATTCTTGTCCTTATCTGAAAGAAATTTGTTATAACTAGAGCGTGGACTGTCAACCTCATTCAGAAATGCTGCTACCGTACGCAAAACGGTACTTAAGAAACCAAAGTATGTAAGGCACGATGTACTCCTAAACGGACGGCCTTGGAGGGTAGAGAGGAGGTCTCGCGCTTAAGTAAGGGCTTCAGATTAACAAAAAAGGATCGAAAACTTAGGCTAAACCAGTCTTCTCAAGTTTCAAATTCAGATTAATCAAATTTACTCGATGTTTTGATCTAGGCAAAGAATCCGGTCAATAGTTTGACTTCTTTGAAATTTTTAACTTGTTTAATCTTTAACTATGGCGTGGTCTCGATAGCTGTAGATTTTCTAGCTTTGAGCATGAGATACTTTTGTAAACATACATTACATTTTATATTAAGTTGTTTAGTGTTATAGTTCTTCTTTGAGTTTCACTTACATTGTTTTAGCTCATATTTATTATTCTGAAAAGTTAATATGAGGTAATCCTCGAAATTTCTCTCTGCTCAACTATGTAGATTCTTTATTCTAAGATACTTTTTCAACTGTAGTATCTAAGGAATATTTCGAGAAGGGCTGAATTGAAGCAGTTGTTTTACGTATTGTCATCATGAAAGGATGTGATTTTACTAACACTTAGATTACTATACAAATCTTCCTTAAAATCAGCCGCAGCTCACTTGCGTCTAGAAATTTTAAGCATACTACTGCGTGTGAAAGCAGGACCAAATTTTAGTGTAATTGTTAGGCTGAAGGAGTACTTCAGCAACAACATTTTTCTTTGTTGTGTAACTATTTTTTTATAAAAAAAACAAAGCTAGTTGTTTTTAGGGTTTCTTTTCAGCCTCACAATTGTTGTAGGCCTAAAATCGTCGACTCTTTCATAAAAACTGTAGTTGAATTTTCAGGTGCACTTCTCAAAAAGGGCAACTGATGATGAAAATTAGCAAACGGCTAATTGTTACTTGAAGCAAAAGCTTTGTTAAATCAAAGATCCTTCGGAACATGTCAGAAGAATGCTACAGTAAACTTTTCCCAGTCCGGAACGGTTTTTGATCAATATTGAAAAAAGAAGATAGAAATAAAGACTTTAAGCTGCTATAGTGGACATTTTACTGGAGCAGTTGAGAAGGAATTCCTTCACTCGATTCCAAGGCACTTTCTTCTATTTAAGATCCTTCTTTTAAAGAATTTTTCCTTTATGGAATTCCCAAGGACCTCTGAAGGTTGCGCTGTCACTAATTTTTTGGATACTTTAAATTTCACTCCAATCACGATAGAAATAGCTTCGATACTGGTTGGTTGCTTTGCAAAAAATTGATCACGGTTCAGGCCAACTGCAGATAAGTACCGTAAATCAGTCTTTTGCGACCCTTAACACACTATGAACAAAGGATTTAGTTGAAAGCCTGGTACATGACCACTGGTTTCAATTCAGTTACTGATTGTTTCATTAAAAACTGGAGACCGTGCGCACAACCAGGTCTTTGACTATCAGGTACAAAGTATGTAAGGCTGTTTCAGTGTAAATTTATAGCTAAATATTTATTTTTCAACACTAAATTTAAGGTCAAAAAATAGTAGTATAAAAGTGAACATACACTATACTTGATGATATGGCAAAAAACTGGAAATGCAATAGTCTTCGTTTTTTTAGTTTGTTGAGCAATTTCTCTAATCGTGAATTTCTGTTCTGGCATTCTTCGGTATTACAAATTTCCCCTTAACAATTGCTTCCGAACTTGCTGTAACCACTAAATCGCCCTTAATTGTCCACAAATGGTGCTCAATAAATGCCCGACCATTTTCTGTAAAACTTCCGCTAATAATAGATATGTTGACAGAGTTTATAAAATAAAATGTACGTACTGGCAATGGAAAAGTGATTTTCGCACAGCAACCAGTCGTTGACCGTGAAATCATGGTTGTGAAACCAACAGCAGAAGTCAACTGGGATGATCTGAGCGGGGGAGAAGCCACGACTGTAAGGTATGAACACTATCAGGTTGCAGAGTTATTTCTCGTTGAGCAAAGTTTTTCATGTGACTGTCAGTCGAAATTAGAAAATTAACTACCGTTTATAAAATTTTGATTAAAAAATGAATTGAAGGGCTTCTTAGATAGCATGAGGTGTTCCAAAAACCTTTAAACATTCTAAGGCGTTTACTGATTTTTTTAATGACGGAAAGACACCAGTTAGTTCAAAACATTATTTACCTCATGTGGTATCGCAGCATCGAGGGGACCAATGTTGCTTCTACAAAATGAGTGGCAAAAACTGTATTTTTCTCCACTGTTTTTACTGAACAAAGTTTGTTTAAATTTGTGGAGTAAAGAAAAATGACGTAAAGCATTAAAAAACGTATCTTCAAATCACTATTTAAAACGCTAAGAGAAATTTTGAGGTTTGGAAACGAATTACTTTATAATGATCATTGTTTAATTAAGTGAAATAACCACTGCCCGTATTTGCTCATCATTTTAGACTGTAATATGTAAACCAAATAACAAGATATTTCTTCTCCCTAATGTGTATACAAGGTATAGTTTATGTCGTAGAATTACGACGTTGTGACAAAAAATTCGTTTCTCGTCATTATGAAAAGACAAGGACTTGCAATTTGCGGCTCCGGCTTTTCTGGGGTTACGGCCATTTTTTGGTGAAGAATATGCAACAACGTAATTTGTAAATGAAAAATAATTTCAATTTTGCCATTTTAACAGTGAATTATTACTACTCAAAGAACTCACCGTCGTCAACATTTGCTTTGGCCCAGAGTTTTGTGAAAAAACCTTTCATTGCTGCAGCAGTGAACGATTCTCCGTCAACGACTCGAATCTGAAGATGCTTGAAAGATTTAGGGTAATGAAAATTTCTCAAAAATTTACGGCAAGCTCACATCGAATATTCGGTTGATAGGATTTCCTTTAATACTTTCAGTATAACTTTGCATAGCTTCAGATATACTGCCCGTGTTTTCTTCCCATTCTTGCATCAGATTGTTTAGAGCATCAGAAAGTGACAGGCAGTACTGAGGAGCGGCGGTGACTGGCATGTGACACTGTGAGGCTATAGCCTCACAGCTTTCCTAAAATGGAAGTAGTGAAGTTGTCAGAAGCAGAAGTAAAAATAAATGTTGTTAGGAATTCTAACACTTCAAGTTTCTGGGACCACAACTTCATGCTAAAGGTACTCCGGAATCACCGGTGATACTTTAGCACTTAAGACTAAAGCCGGTTTCTAAATATTTAAAGAAACGATCCGGCATGAGTACGTAATCGTGAGCCAAAAGTAGGGGCTTAATTCCATGGAAACTGATAAATAGCGCTGATTCTGAGAGTGATAATTCTAATTTGATACAGATTTTTATAATAGTAGTTGTCACTATGAAATAAAAGTTACGTTGTTGGCAGATACCGTCAATGGAAACAGGAAATAATAACCACCGAATCACAGATCTCTTATATCTTCATTGAAAAGCGTTCAATAAATAAATGTGTTAAGGCTTGGGTTGAAATAGTGTAAAAAATTATACTTTTTAATTGTAAGGTAAATTTGTTAAATATATTGTAGTAAAAACCTTTTCAGCTAACCTTATAGAAACAGAATTGAGCTTTCATCGTCAAGTCGGAGCCTTGTATAGCATCGACCTCTGTGATGCAGGTGTCTTCATTCTCTTGCAGAATTTTTACTTGAAAGTTCAGAGACGACGTGCTACTACCTAAAATTTTTGACTTTTAATTTGTATATCTGTTAAGTGTTATTTTTTTCAAAGTTGATAAGACAGAAAAAAAAGCAATAACCTCTGCGAAGAAAAAAAGAAGACACAGAAATAAAACTTTGTAAGCAGCTTGCATACTAAGTTTTTTAACCTTTCATTTTTAATGTAAGTCAAAATTTATTTTTATATACTTTACAAGTCAATGATTCTAAATTTGAATTAATCTTCAAGTGCTTCTAATAATTTGCTGGGGAATTTCTTGAACTGGCAGTAAACAGTTGATGTATAACAGTAGCAAAAAATAAGCTTTAATACTAACATTGCTGTAAGAACAATTTTTTATAAGATTAAAAAAGGCAAAACGAAAAAAAAAAAACAGACAGAAAAAAATAATCGAAACATAAAAATTTTTGCAGTTTTATGAAATTTTAGTTGGATAGCTGTAACACACACAAAGTTGACTGAATTTGCCGTTAAAAATTCGGTAGTATTATAGGATAATTTAACAAGTACTGGTCAAGTAACTCTTTCATCAACAAATTGGCTATTTTGTTAAAATGCGTCAGTTACTGGTGCAAATGTTTATAGTTTCCACTTATCATATCTAATACTTCTTAATAAATTCAGAATAACAGCGGCAAAGATGAGGTGAAATAACAAACCACATTTCATGAAATATATATGAGAGCTGCTAATACTCATCTGTTGTGGCTTGTGAAAAGCCGCAACAGTCATGGCCTGTGCAATTGCTATACCATTACTTGACCAACTCGGTAACACCACTTTTTCCTCAACACTTCTAAAAAAAAAAGGCAATAAAATCAAGTTCTTTTCTTTTTAAATTAGCTACTTTTTTGATTTTGACAACTCTAAATCACAGCAGATAAACAAAATGTAATTGTAGCAGAGAAATAAATGTTAATGAGTGCACAAAATACTAAAGCTTTACCAGTTTTTTTTCGTTTTAAAAGCTACAAAATTATAGTACGAAATTTGTTTTACTAATATGATAGACCTCTTACATTAGTGCTATTAATCATAAAGTAAAATTTTATTTACATTCTTACCTGTAATGCTGTTCTCCAATTTTTTCCAACTTGAATAGCGTAAAATCCATTGTGTGATTCACGGATACCTAACAAATGTTTGATGCACTTTATGTACACTCTTTTGAAACTGAAAACTGTCATCATATAATAAAAATAGAATATGGTATATATATGCTAAAATTGCATTCAACACCAATAACTTTATCTGAATTCTAATACAGTAAAAGTATAGAAGATTCTCATTCTTTTTTTTTTTCGCACTTTTTGCTTTTAGGGACAAAAGTTTACTTTGCATTTAAATTAAAACTATATACATGGCATTATGTAACCAAAATTTATCTGTATATAATATGAGTATTTTTTAGGTATCTAAAGCAGTCTGTTTCAAAACTAGCCAGAAATAACTTATCAAATGCAACTTTAAACGCTAATGATAAAGTGTTTGAAATATTGTAAATACAAGACACACCACTAGAAGAAAACCACATTTTACACATTTTTTGAAATGTTAAGACCGACCTTATTGTTTTAAAAAAGATTTAGCATACGTCTTACTTTTAGGATACTTTTAATTAAATTAAACTTTAACGATAGGAAACAATCCTCTGTTTAAAATGGGGTCAGTAACTAATACAGGCATGTTGCTTAGTCGGTTTCAATGAAAATTGAGGCTATAAATTCAAAACTTTTTTGCTAATGGTTTAAAAAAGTTTACAATCTTTATGCTGTATGTCGTCAGAACAATCTTCTATGTAGATGCATTGACTTCTAAGTAGAATCAAAAAATGAGAGACTGATTTTAATGCATTTTGAAGTTCAAGAATACCATACACTTCGTATCCATTATAATTACAAAGCCTTTTATCCAATGAGTTTTGGACAAATAATTCTGTAGTCGTTGTTTGAAATGCTAATTCTTTACTTGAGACTAATTTACACTTGTCACTCTGAAGACTAATTGCCAAGCCTCATTTTTCTTCACCGCATCACTTTGACAACAATAATAAAACACTATAACTATAATTTATTGTATTATTCGTTTGCACTTTATCCTCACCAGTCTTTTTTAGAAGCGATGATCGTTAGCGATTGTTCCTGCCAGTTGTAATTTTATATTAAGCAGCATCAGAAAACAGAGAAAATTATGCATAGTAATTAAGCTGACAGACGAAATAAACGGTAAACAAAAAATATGACGTTTCACTTTGAACATTTCTAGAAACTGAAAGGTTTTTGTCAAAAGGCGGCCAGCCTGTGCACAAGGAGCTCTTAAAATGGAATTCCAAAGGCGGTATTTTATAAGTAGTATTTGAATTATGTTTCTAGAAAATCTAAACGATAACGACAATTTTGTCGTGGTGCTAATAAGAGCTCAAAATGGTCATCAGATTGTAAATTATATACAGTGTAAACAGCAATTAATAACGAAAAGTAGCATCAAAGTTGTAAACGTAGAACAGCATTTCATGCTCTTTTTTAATGTAAAGAATTTAAGCCATTAGTGTGTAGACAGTTCTTATGCTATGCAGTCAACAGAATTCTATTCTAATTTTTTTTTAAAAGCAGAATTCGAGTTTCAATGCTTTTAAAGATATCAAAAGAGCTGTAGCTGGCAAACAAAAATTCTTACTCTTTAAAGTTTTTATCCTTCTCGCAAAGCATTTTTTTTTAAAAAGCTAAAAAAAAAGTTAATACACACTAAAATGTGTATTAACTTTTTTTTTAGCTTTTACTTCATTCCTAAATCACTTTTTTTTGACAGTGACAACAGATATGCCAAAAAACAAAAAGCAATTTACTGAAATTTGAAAGCGATAAATCTGAAGTCACGCAAAAATTGGCAAAATGTTGCCAGCCTTCCAATTAGGAAAGTGTTTTGAGCAAACACTTTACAGTTTTTATCCTTACCAAAACGTTGTCATGTAAGTAACGAAAAATTAATAGTTAAACAGCACTTGTCGCTCGTTTAACCAATTTCATGAAAAAAAGGTTTATAATGAGTTTTGCATAAATAATAATGGTGTTTATTGAATACAAAATTGTCAAACATTTCTAAAAAATTCTCCGTAAACTGACAATATTTTTATTTTTTAAACAAATTAATGTTACTTTACTGACTTTCGTCAACGTTTACAGAACTTATTCAAGCTTATTTTTTAGTGGTCAACAGTAAAAATGAAAGTATGTGCGTGTAAAAACGGAAAAATTGCGAGAAAACGACTATTTAATTGAAAATTTTGATCTACATCTGTCAAACAAATTTAGCGTAAAGATAGGTTGGTTCTAAATAACTTTATGTGACTGCATCAGATTTGGAAATATGTGCAAAAGATTATCGAATAAGCAAAATTTACTTGAAAAATTGCTTACAGTGTGAAATTATCTCTCAAAGCTGTTTTCGCAGCAGTTAACATCAGAAATGATATTAACTTTTTTAGTAACCATTTCAAAAGCATATTATAAAATTTTTTCTTGCTAAAATAGCATAGATTAGGACCAAAATGCTTGTCTTTAGCGGTATACTGTGTTGTTCAGAGAAGCGTGAAGAAGCTTTTTCTAATGTACAAATCGACAGCTGCTAGCCTTTGTCCAATTGTTGCAAAAATACAACGTTGTACATAGCATCTCGCAAGAAATGTCAAAAAAAAAAAAACTAATGTAGGATTTGAGGGTACGGTTAAAATATGTTACAAAATATGACACTAAAAAGTTAGTGCCCAAGTGGTAATTATCAATCAGAAGAAGGTTTCAATGCTACTGCTCTAAAACAGTTTTTAAACAATGGAAAAACGTTTAATGCAGCTGACATATTAAGAAGACTGTCAACACTTAAAAACGTTCTGACTATGACGTTACTTAATCACTTTAATTTCAGACCTTAAAGACTACGATTTCTGCAAACTGCACAATATGGAGTAATTGACAAATTGATTTTAAAAGCTCAAAAAGTAAAGTCTAATTAAAACTTATTGGTGTTTTCCTCAAAGGTAATTAATTTTACGAGTGATCAAAAAATCAAAAATTTTTTAAGCATTAAGTTTTCAACATTTATTCAATGCGTAAACGTCTTATAAAAATGCCAAAAAAGTGTTGCTATCTATGATTGAGGAAATATGCTTACAGTTGAAAGAATTTATTTATGTTTGCAACTCTATTTTAGAATGATGCAAAAATTGAACAACAACAGGAAAAATTCAGTAAACGACGGCAGTATATTTACAAAAAAAATTCAAAAAGCTCTTTATTGTTTATTGAAAATTGTAGAATATTACATTGCACTATTCCATTTCAATAGTCTAAAATAATTAGTCATTGAAACAGGTGACAAGCCCATATATTATATGTAACACTATTTCACAGCATTCGCAGAGTAAAAAAAAAGTCTGTGTTGCGATATAAATGTTCATAGTGTTAATTTATCAGCCATTAAAAGAATAGATAAAACGTTTTCTTCAAATGTTACAGCAATGGGTCAACAATTTTTTTTTTCAAAAATCAAATTTTAAACTTCCAAAAGAAACTAATGCTTTCTGCAGGCCAAATCGCTTTCAAATAACTGTGATTAAAAAGTTGAAATATTTTCACTTGTAGTTTTGCTACAGTGAACAATAAATGCTACTTTGACCTGCAATAAAAAAGAAAAGAACAATTCAAATTGAAAAGAAAAAGTTTAGTAATACTGATATAAAGCAGGTAGG